CGATTTTTGTTTCTTGGACCTCTCTTGGGGTGCCTCTCGGAACGTCTTGGGGTGCTTTTGGGAGCCTTTTGGCGCCTCTTGGCGGCATCTTGGCGCCTCCTGGAGCCTCTTGGGCCGGAAGCTCGGAATTCGAGGTTGGCTTTCTCCGTCTGGGACCCCTCTCGAACTCGTCTTGGGGCTCTCTTGGGCCGTCTTGGGGCCGTCCTGGCCACTCGTGCGCAGCCTTGGAGCGCTCCCGGAGGCCTCGTAGACCGTTTTGGGCGCCTCTTGGGCCGTCTTGGACGCGGTGAAAGCCCAAGAGGCGAACATGCGAAAAATATACGTTTTCCCATCGGATGGCACGATTTTTGTTTCTTGGGCCTCTCTTGGGCTGCCTTTCGGAGCGTCTTGGAGGCTTCTGGGACCTTCTTGGTGTCATGACAGGCGTCTTGGAAGGCATCTGGAGCCATCGGAGCGCGTTCCGAAGCCGCCTGCGAACGATCTTGGACGGCGTCCGGCGGTCCGACGAGCCTCCGGGCCCCCCGGGGCCCACATTTGCGGTCGGGGTCCCGGCCCCGGGCCCCCGGACCCGGTGCGCCGTTATATGTATACGCTGGTGCTGCGCTCGCGCTTAGGGTCTAGCAGATTACGGAGTCATTGTCAATAGATCTCGCGCTAATCCACGAACCCTAGGATACCCAGAGAGAGGTTCCCCAAGCAAAGGCCGCCCTTGGCACGTTGAGGTGTTGGGCCTTCTGCGGGATAGCTCAAGGTTCGGTGGATGGTCGCGGAGCCGTGCGAGATCGACGCGCGACGCGTCAAAAGGCTCCGAATTGTCCCAGACTGCGCAGGTGCCGTGACTGCCACTATGGCCGAGGAGGGTCCCAGAGGCACCTGGCCGCCATGCCGTCGCCGCCGCCGCCGCCGCCCCCGCGGGCGCCGCCGCCGCCGCCGCCGCCGTCGAGATGATCGTCGCGGTGGCGGTCGTAGTGGTAGCGGTGCTGGTGGCGGAGGTCGTCTGAGGACGTGATCGGACGATTGCACGTTCTGGGGTGTGTTTTGCTTCTCTGGGGCCTCGGGGGGTCTCCGGACTCTGGAGATCTGTTGGGGCCTCCAGGGCCTCCAGAAGCCTCATGGGACTCTCCTGAAACTCCAACAAGCCCCCAAGAGAGCTCCAGGGGACAGCCCGGCAGGGCCCAAAGGGGTGCCAAGGGAGCTCCCAGAGCGGCCACAGAGCCCCAACAATTCAACACAACGCCGTCCTTGACAAGGAAGCGCTTTGCATTAAATTTGTGTTCGTGGGGCCCTCTGGTTCCGTCTCGGCGCTCTCTTGGGGCGGTCTTGGGCGCGTCTAGGGCCGTCTTGGGGTTCTCTTGGGCCGTCTTGGGGCCCTCTGGGGGACCTCTTGGGCCGTCTCGGGGCGGTCTTGGGGGCCTCTGGAGACGTCGTGGAGCGCTGGAAGCTCGAAAAATCGAGACCTTCGAAAACAGATAAAAACCTATGTGAAATCATTGATGCTTGCCTCTTGCGGCCATCTGGGGCGCGCTCATCGAACCCCCTAGGGCCGTCTTGGAGCATCTTAGGACGGAAAGCTCGAATTTTCGGTTCGGGCTCCTGCGCTCGGGCCCCTTTGGGATCGTCTTGGAGCATCTTGGGCGCCTCTAGGGCCGCTTGGTGTCCCCGTGGGCCGTCTTTGGGCACGTTTGGGGGCCTCTTGGCCCGTCTCGGGGCGGTCTTGGGAGCTTGGGACGTCGTGGGACGCCGGAAGCTGGATGGGTCGAAACCCCGAACACGTTGAGAAACCTATGGCCAATCAGTAGTGTTGGTCTCTGGGGGGCCTCTGGGGAGTGCTCGTCGAATCCTATTGGGCCGTCTGAGGGCATCTTGGGACGGAAGGCTAGAATTGTCCTCTCCTGCTTGGGCCCCACTTGAGGCCATCTTGAGGCCTTCTTAAGCAGTCTTGGGCCACTCTTGGGCCATCTTGGGGCCGTCTTGGCCCGTCTTTCTCACTCTTCGCCGTCGCCCTCGCGTTCGGAGCGAAACTCTACTGTATTAAACGCGTCTGCGACGCTGAACCTCCGAGCGCTAGCTGAAAAGCGACGGAGAAGTCGGCTTCAAAGACTCAAGACCCCAAGGTTGAGCTATACAAGCTACATAACGATTTCCTGCAGAGTGAGGGGGAGGAGCAGGAGGCAGCAGGTAAGCAAGAAATCGATGAGGAGCAGGAGGAGGAGAATGAACACCCGGTGGTTGCCACAGTTGTTGCCAACACCATAATGGTGAGACATGGTGCCAGAACCACAGACGAATCCCTGAGGCTCGGCCCTAACTGGACGTGGCGATAATGCCCGCCCGAAAAATCATGCTAACGGGGTTCCCCACATAAAGAGATTAACGATTTCGTGGGACCCATTTTCTTGATGCCCTCCTCGCTTTGGCGCGGCCCCGCTGGAAGGGAGGAGGGGCACGAAACCATGTAAATAGTATGGTTTTCGGATACCCTCCTCGCTCAGGCGGGGCCTCCCTGGAGAGGTGGGAGGGGCACGAAACCATGTAAATAGTATGGTTTGCGGATACCCTCCTCGCTCAGGCGGGGCCTCCCTGGAGGGGTGGGAGGGGCACGAAACCATGTAAATAGTATGGTTTGCGGATACCCTCCTCGCTCAGGCGGGGCCTCCCTGGAGAGGTGGGAGGGGCACGAAACCATGTAAATAGTATGGTTTCGGATACCCTCCTCGCTCAGGCGGGGCCTCCCTGGAGGGGTGGGAGGGGCACGAAACCATGTAAATAGTATGGTTTCGGATACCCTCCTCGCTCAGGCGGGGCCTCCCTGGAGGGGTGGGAGGGGCACGAAACCATGTAAATAGTATGGTTTGCGGATACCCTCCTCGCTCAGGCGGGGCCTCCCTGGAGAGGTGGGAGGGGCACGAAACCATGTAAATAGTATGGTTTGCGGATACCCTCCTCGCTCAGGCGGGGCCTCCCTGGAGAGGTGGGAGGGGCACGAAACCATGTAAATAGTATGGTTTGCGGATACCCTCCTCGCTCAGGCGGGGCCTCCCTGGAGGTAGGTGGTATGTGTGGATGGTATGGTATGGCGCCACCACTCAGGATGTGGGGAAAAATGTGGGCGCTGCAGCGCTTCCAAATAAAACCTAGACGGAGCAGGAGGAGGATGAAGATTGAGGGTTCGCCACCACTGGGCACGGCATTAAAAGAAACTGTTGCCATGAAGATCGGGGATTGGCCACCACTGGGCGAGGAATGAAAAAATTGTTGCCAACACCACCATGGTAAGACATGGCGCAAGAAACGCAGGACAGACTCTGAGAGTCGGCCCTACTTGGACGTACGCCGAGACTGTACAGCAGCACGTGCTTAAACTTTTCCGCCCACATTGCGCCTGACGCTGTGGACGAAGCTGCGTATCACGCAATATATACGGCGCGGCTGACAGCCCGTGGCCACGTGGCGTGCCCTGCGCCGTTTCCATGCTATTCCCCTGGGCTGGCGTGAACCATGCCAAGTAGTGCAGTGACTGGCAAAATCTTTGGAACATCCAGAATCACTACAAAAAAAGTCCTAGGATAAAAATTCGTGCCGTGCGTCTGGCGCGCGAGGCAGGAGGCGTCCACGTATGTGTATGTATGTATGTATATGTATGTATGCATGCATGTACGTATGCATGTATGTAGGCAGGTCGGTAGGTAGGTATGTGTTTGTATGCATGTATGTATGTATGTATGTATGTGTATGTGTGTATGTATTTATTTATGTGTGTATATAGATATATAGATATTGTAGATGTATGTGTGAATGCATGTATGTCTGTATATATGTATGCATGCATGTATGTTTGTGAGTGAATGTAGTATATATGTAGGTGTGTGTATGTATGTATGTATGTATGCACGTACGTACGTAGGTATGCATATTATATATTATTGCTTATATACGTATATGGTGTATCGAACTCCTCTCCCATTGGCGCCAACCCCAGGTGGGCCAACCCCTGCTTCAGGCCCTCCTCCTGCCTCTCGGACGACCCGCGTGTCTGAGAAGTCGCCTGCCAACTCTCCGTGGAGCCCCACGGGCCCCAGCGCCCATCTCACAGGAGCAACAGCGGCATGAGCATAACTTCTGGGAGGTCCGCGCGGACCTCTTGGATCGGCGGTGGGCACCCCTCCCTGGCGCGCTGTGCGCGCCATGGGGCGGCGACGGAGGCGCCGGGGGTGCCACCAGGGGGCCCAGCGCCGATCCAGAACGTCTGCGCGGAGCTCCGCGAAATCATGCTTCTGCAGCTGCAGCTCGCTCCTCTTCGGAGACTTTCCCGCCGCAGCCGCCAGCCCCCGAGGAGGCGGCATCAAATGTCAAGAGATGAAGGCCCCTAGGGCGCGAGGAACCCGCTCGGGCGCCAGCGCACCACGCCTGGGGCCCCGGAGGCCTGGACCTCTTCCCCGGGGCCGGTCTGTCATCCTGAGCCGATTGTAGCGGCCCTGGGGCCCGGTGAAGGCGACGAGGAACCCCTGGCGAAGAACGTGCACATACATCTCTGACAAAACGATATGCTTTTTGAGACTTCCCAAATGCCTGCGGTACACATGCTGCTGCCTTCTGCTCCCTACTGCATGCTACGATCGCGAATGACGTGCCGAATCAGTATGATCTTCGACGCGCCGCCTCGGCAGAGACGTCTGCGCAGCTGGGGAGACGACTCTGACGACCTAGTTGACCGGACCACCCGGCTCAAGGCATTTGTGGGAAAACGGAAAAGAAACTAGTAGCGGAGTGTGGCGGTCCACTGAATATCCTGCGAGCTAGCCTACTACTACTACGCTGATCAGGCGCACTTCATAGACGTTCACTATTTAAGGAATTGGCGGTGTAAGGAACCGCTTTCTTTGGTCACGCTTGTGGCCGGCTTCCGCTGACGATGCAACAGTACAGGTACCAATGTGCAGAACGTACGTACGAATTGTGACACTTGCAAAATACACGTGCGGTGAAACGACAACAAAATCTCACGAAGCTGCTTTCAAAGACAACTGCGACTGACCAGCAAGAGCTATCTGGCCGATCTTGCCCAAACATTTCCACATTGATGCTTGGTCGAGATGTTTTGTCCCGACGTCGGACGGGTTCTCTGTACCTGGAACTTTGTGTACAGTAGTTTCACGTTCGAGAACCTTCTGTTGCACCCACAGAGACTGGGTGTGAAGGTGTCTGATTTTGCCAACACCCCTCCTGGTTGCTATTGCCTTCGCCGACGAACTGTCGGTAAACAAACGACACTGTAAATCCACCCCAAAATCCTTAGCCATTGCTTTGAAACCCAAACATGTGCTAATACCTTTCACAATGCTGTAAAATTCAGATTCCCCGGAACTCAACGCTAAGACGGTTTGAGTAGAGGAGTAACTACGAATACAATGCCTACCATGAAACTGAACACCTCCATTTGTACTCTTCCTCGTACCGAGACAACCAGCGTGATCACTGTCGACGTAAACATCACAAAAGGACGGCGGTGGTTGCATGTGAAATTGCTGACACGAGCGAGGACAATGCTTCAAGTAACGACCTATCCGCTTGATCTTCTCAAGATCAGCTGCGGTTGGATTGGCCATCCCACGGGCGGCTTCCTTACCGGCGAACTGTAATTCCGCACGATCCATCGCAAGAGAATTAATACGCATAGAAACACTACGAAACAATGAGCTCATCTGCGGATCTAGCTTTTCAGAGTCATTAAAACCACTCTGCTTGACACCTGGTGTTGTTATCTGCTTGGCACTTCCGTGTGTGCGATTCAAACCTAATTGGGAAACAACAATTTCTGCGTGCCTGTTGTCTGGTTCGTACTCAATGTACGGCCTTCCTGTCTCGCTGCTCACACACCAACGGATAAGCCTATTCAGACAACGAATCTCCTGGACGTGGTTTTGGGCATCACCCAAGGTACCACGATCTTTAATATCAAACTCACTTTTCATGTACGAGGAAAACCATTGTAAATCTACATTTGACCCTACCGCAATAAAATCGTATCCGTGGACGTAACAACGCAAATCACGAGTTCTATGCGTGAAGATACAAGGGTTCCAAATACCACTTGTAAAACCGCCTGCGTGCATTACTGATGTGTACTTTGCTTCCCAGTTACATGCGGCATCACGGGTACCGTATAAACTCTTGTTGAGACGACCGCACATTCCTGGCGAATCGTCTTCCGGCGGCAGTTGCACATAAACTTCACGAGTGGCAGGTGCGTGAAAATGTGCACGACGTACGTCCAGAAACGACAAATACTTTCGAGTTTGTTATGGTGTTTCTGTCATGCACAGACTGAAGATGAATTTCAGAGCCTCAAGTGGTGGTGTTGCGGCAAACGTGTCGTCCCTATCTTCTAATTTCTTCAGTTCCTGTGCAACGATCCGGCTCCTGTATTCGGGCCGGTTCTCGTCGCCCTTGTTCACGTCCACCCAGCGGGTGCCTATGGGAGCCCGCCCTGTTTTCTCAAAGCATTCAGAGATTGGCACTTTCGTGTAAACATTGTGCTTTTCTACCTCTTTCATTTCTGCCTGCCTCGCCTCTAACACCTTTGAAATCTCGAGCGGTGCTCCGGACAGGTTGTCCCAATACGTCGAATAATCCCCGGTTTGGGGAACCGGAGCCTCCGAGCACAAAACAACACCTACCGAATTCAAACTCAACAAATGCGAACAATACAACTCATCAATGAAACCTTCAAGAACACCTGCTGAGAAACGGGTTTGCGAGACACCTGTTCGCAAGAACCCGTCCGGACACCATTTTCGAACTGTTTCCGTGCACGATGTGGAATTGCCGCTCCAAGCCTGTTTTGGCTTCGTTCCGGCACTGCCGTGTAAAAAGAACTTGCAAGTATTTGTCTGGCTATTGTACAAACGATTCAGAAATCGTACATGATCTTTTCGTTGCTGCGAATCCACACCCACGGTCATTGCCCCAATTACTAACAACGGCATGTTCGTGTTCACTGCCATGATCGCGTTTTTGCGATGTGCAGGGGTGCTAAAATCCCAACTTCTGCCATATCTGGGGTTGACGCGTGTAAAATCAAGAACCAAAGTTGCATCTAAACCGTGACACAAACCAACTTCACTGTCAAATTTGTCTACCAGTTCAGACACGCATGTGTTGTAGCCTAACTTACGAAACGATTCTTGCAACGAGTGAAAAGAATCGATATCTACACTTTGAGCGATGCTCTGCGGCATTGCGCTCAACTCTCCTGCGTTTGTGTTTTCACGCTGCGCATCTAAATAAGAACCGCTTAGACCAATTCCAGCTGAACCGGAAGCTGGCGACGCAGGCCCTGCTTGAGCAGGAATCGGCACTTCGACTGTCATCGCTTCTCCACTGTCGCTCCGGACACCCTCTGGCGGACCAGCTGCAGAAGACGTGCGTTTCTGACCAGATGCGCTCAAACTGGTTTCAACTGACACGTCTTGAGATACATTTTGCCGTTTCGAATCGTTCTCAACTGTTGGATTTTCGGCCGGATCCGTCTTGGAAGAACGGCCCTTGTAGTCATCAGGTCTTCGTTTCTGACGCTCTTCCCGGAGTTGCCCCTGAAGAGAAGACCTCATCAGTGGGTAGGGCCGGGCACGGCACACCTGTGAGTGGGCAACAGGTGGTTTGCCATCACGGTGCGCCTCACAACCCAAACATCCAGCAGAGCATCCAAATTTAACAAGGTCTGCAGTTCTGATATACAACTGTCGCGGAATCGCAACATGTTCTTCAGCCTTCGCCAACGGAGGCGGCACTGGAAAACCCGCCGGCTCAGCAGGCTGGATTACAAGGCTGACTCTGACATCTGGCTCGTCAGATGCAGGGTTCGGCTTCCATGGGACCCCTCTGACTTTCTTCAAATGATCTGCAAACCAACACAATGATGGAGGCCGTCTGCGATACGACCTCGCTTTTACTACACCCTCCGGGGTACCAACAAACACTTCGTCCGAATTATCACTGATACCAAGGAACACACCATCTACAAACTTGTTTTCTAACTTATTCAATTTACCCTTACTTCCAACGGCTGGCAAATAAAACACAAATTCTCCAAATTGTGGTAATGTCTTCAAGTGTCGTTTCCCTTTCAAGCGCTCGTACGGCGTACGACCGTCTGTGCCGACTTGGCACCTGTTCAAGACACACGAAGCAAAATACACCAACCATGGCAAAAGAGGATGATCGGATGGGATACTCCACCCAGTGTTGGTCTCAAGAGCGTCCTTCAATGTACGAATGAGACCTGCCATTGTCTGTATTGAGCGCTCGACTACACCAGTTGCCTGGTGATCTCCAACCGGACTGGTTTCGAAAACGACCTGGCAAGACTCGTCCAAAACTGTACGAACCCTAGTTTTTAGATCGAGGATCGCCGGTTCTTGATCCGATTTGAAAATGACCCTTTTGTATCCTAGGTGATTGATGTCATCAAGTAGACATTTCACCGCGTATGAATGTGTTTTGCTAGGAATTACAAGATAACTACGAAAACCTGACTCATGGTCAACACAAGCTAAACACGTACACGTTGGATCATCATGTTGTCCCAAGAAGAAATAATCAATAGATAATGTGTTCACTAAACGGACTCTGTCTGAAGCGACTCTGTGGTCCAGAGCCCTACCGCGCCCTCGCACACAGTGAGGACACCACGAACGAAACTGACAATGAAAACTGTTTTCGTGGTCAATGATTTCCTGACGAGTAGGCTCGTCTGGATTCAAAGGTTTAGGCAAAATGCGAACCTCATCAGAGACAGCCGGGGTACCGGAAACTGGTTCCGGCGCTGGGATCTCAAGGCCCTCTCTGTGGACCCTATCATCACCGTCCTCGACCCGCACGAACGCACTCGGAGGCGGGCTGGCCCCTACCGGCCGGCTGCCTACAGCTACAGCCGGTTGCCCACGGGCATTGCCGGTCTGACTATCTACATCCATGCCGCCAGAAATGGCAACAGGGTCAAGGCTTGCATTGGGGATTGCATCCGGGATGCCATCAGAGCCCGGTGTGAAACTAGCTGATTGGCATTTTGAGGGTCTTACGCCTAGCGCGACAGCCACCGGAAACCCCCGGGCGACTGCTGCGAAGAGTGTTTATTCATGGCGCCGCCTTGGCCCTCAGAGCTGCCACTCAAGGCAGATAAGGGCTTGTGAGTTACCTTCGAACCGGGATGTAAAATCTTGAACTCCATGACGTACGTGTCATGTTCCCTCTCGAACGGAGTTTTGCGCTTTGTGGCTAAATCGTACACGAAACCACCCTTCTTTGAAAACGCAACCAATTTGTTCTGGTCACAAATGTTGGACACGGCAAACAAAGGATTTCTAACGTCAGCTACTCGGGCTTGCAAAGAGCACAGTTTGTTGTTTTTGTCTATCGCTTTCAATCTACGACTCCCCTCGTCGGGGATTTTCGTGCCACACGCGCTCCTGTAGTCTTGGCCGTTTGGTGGGCCGTGGCATCCTTTCACCTTGTCGTAAATGGCTGCAAACCTACGCGGAATCACTGTCACACACGCCCCAGAATCCATTTTCGCTTTCAACGTACCCAAAAACTTACGTCTCGGGCGCACGAGGTTGGGATGCTCAGACGCAAGTGGCTCAAGATACACGCCGTCCCCATCTTGGGAATCAAGGTGGTAGTATTCAGTGCCAGGTTTGTTGGAACCTGGATGAACACCCCCAGATGCAAATCTCGGGGCTTTGATTTCCGAAGTTTCCGACTCAGTGGGGCGCGCCTGTGGAACAGCACGGCTTTGAGGATCAGCGGTCAGTTTCAACTGCCCGCTGAGAGCCTCATCCAAAAGATCGTAATCAAAAAAACCATTGCTACCCGCATCATCTAAAGCATTTAAAACTAAACCGTCAAAATCGATTTCGTCTGTTTGCAGCTCGGGTTCGCCGTCGATCTCCTCGAAAATAGCGTTCGATATATCAACGTGAAGCTCATTTGCCTGACGATTCGGTTTCTTGCGGCAGTTGACCGCTTTGTGACCCCAACCTCCGCACGAATTACAATAACCATCGAAACGAACACTGCTGCTCCAAGATGCCGAGGATGACCCATTAGGGGCATTGCCTCTGTAACCTGACAAGCTGCTGTTGTTCCAGCCCCACGTGCTCTGATATTGTCCCTTCTGTGAGAGGGGACTCTTTCCGTTCTTACCGCCGTTGTCTTTTGCAAACCCTTTTCCACGGTTATCTTTCGCAAAACCGGTCTTCCCATCACCTGCTTTACCTCCAAAGTCTCTCCCTGCTCCTTTGCCTTTCCCATCGCTGTATTGTACCTTTCCTCCTCCAATTTTTCCGTACGACTTCCCTTTTGGATCTCCTTTGGGACCCTTGCCGAACAGGTCCAAATCCATTTTGTTCTGATTCGAAACGGGGGTTTTGCTCTCGAGGTAAGAATCGATGGCCTGCCGAATCTGCAAAGCTGAAAATTGAGAAGACAACACATTGTTTTGCTGACGGACTTCATTCAACTCGTTTGTGACCTTACTCAAGTTGTCTGACAAAGCCTGTAATTGCTGCAGTGCTGCATTCAATTGTTCTGCCGTCGCCGCCATCCTTGGATTGGGCGGTGCTTCAACTTTCGTTCGAAATAAGATGTGATGTTCAATCCCAGAGGTCCTAAAGAACAAAACGCTGCGCTACCATGACAAAACGATATGCTTTTTGAGACTTCCCAAATGCCTGCGGTACACATGCTGCTGCCTTCTGCTCCCTACTGCATGCTACGATCGCGAATGACGTGCCGAATCAGTATACTATTCGACAATCTCTCTCGCTATATACATATATAGATATATAGATATAGGTATGTATGCAAAACTACATGGGTACATACAAACCTACATACGTACGTACGTCTGTACGTACGTACGTACGTACGTACATACATACATACACACTCTCACACACATACACATGCACACATACACATACACACCTTCATACACACATGCATGCATGCTTGCATGCATGTATGCATGCACACATACATACATACATACATACATGCATACATATATCCATATACACATACATACATACATACGTACATACATACATACATTACATACATACACACATTATACACAAGCATTCAAACATACATGCGCACCTGCATACATACACACATGCACACATGCATACATCCATGCATATACACACATGCATACATCCATCCATCCATACATACATACATAGATATGTATATATATAGAACGATATATATATAGATACATATATACGTGCATGCATGCATGCATGCATACATACATACATACATACACACATACATACAATACATACAATACAATACAATACAATACATACATACATGCATACATACATACAAACATGCATGCATGCATGCATGCATACATACATACATACATGCATACATACATACACATATACACATACACATCTACATCAATACTTACATACGCACACATACATGCACACATATATAGATACATGCATGCATGCGTACACACATGCATACATACGTACACATATACATACATGCATGCATACACACATTCATACGTACATACAGACATACTAGAATCACGCGCGCTTAGGTTCTAGTCACTCCCGCGACCACGCTCACAGGCGCCAATGACGCCACGGCTACCACCACCCTTTCCGCCATCACCGCGGTCACGACCACTTCCGATTCCATATCCATTCTGGGCATGACCACCCCATCCACTACGATTGCACTTTCCGCGACCACTAAAACGGCCATTGGTTCAACCTCTGCCTGTACCACCACCAATGCCACTACCATTGCCACTACTGCCGCGAATCCACGACCACTATCATCACCACCACGGGTCGCTACACGTCGGGTCCTGGAAGTCCGGCGCACTCCTCGGGACTGGTATGTCATCCTGTCCAAGAGACGCTAGCGTGACTTGTTCAACGCGGGGTCCCTGGAGTGGGCCCGAAGTCCGAAGACCTTCCATGGGCCCGGTGTTTCGTCGCAAATGTTTGAGGGTCCCAGGCCCCATTTCGGGCTTCAGGAAGCGAAGAGTGGTTCAGAAACTTCGGGAGCGGGAAGAGTACCTGAAGGCGTCTGGTCAGCGGGCTGTTCAGGGGCCTCGAGGGAGCTTCTTGAAAGTTTTGTGGGGGCTTCTTGGGGGTGTTTTGGGGGCCTCTGGGGGCCTCCTTGGGACCTCTGGGGGCGGAGGGCGCGAAATGTTCGTAGGGCATCCTCGCTGGGCCCCTGCTTGGGGCCGTCCTGGGTCCCTCTTGGGCCGTCTTGGGGACCTCTTGGGCTAGCCAGTGGCCCTTTTGGGCTGTCTTGGAACCCTCTTGGGCTGTCTTGGGGCGATCCTGGCGGCCTCTCAAGTCGTCTTCGTTCCCCTGGAAGGAGAGGAGGCGAATCCCTGAAAAATGCACGTTTTCCGGAGGGAACGGGACAATTTTAGCCTCTTGGGGCCCTCTGGGGCTGTCTCGGGGGCTCTCCGGAGCCCTCTTGGAGCCATCGTCGGCGTCTTCGAGCTACATTTCAAGGCTCGTGCGCCCTCTTGATCTGTGTTGGCGGCCTCCGGCGCCCTCGGGAGCCGCCACGGGGGCGCCCCAGAAGCCCCGGTGCCCCCATGCGCGCTCGAGAACGCGGTCCGGGCCCCCAGGTCCTCGTCCCCCGGTATGTGTGTGTATATATGTGTATATATATATATATAGATGTATATATATATACACACATGCATTGTTACACTCATACATACATACATACATACATACATACATACATCCATCCATCCATCCATCCATCCATCCATCCATCCATCCATCCATCCATCCATCCATCCATC